TTTTATCGCAGCATAGTATTCCATTGTGTAGATGTGCCACAGTTTTTTAATCCACTCATCTGTTGATGGGCACTTAGGCTGTTTCCAAATCTTAGCTATGGTAAATTGTGCTGCTATGAATGAAGTGTTCTCCTTTTCAAAAGCCAATGGTCAGGTTTGGTGGTACTTATATCTGTTCTGGCTTCTGATTTTCCATCAAAATTAATATCTATGAACCCCATGGTTTATCCTGTCATATTCGTCCTGTCATATTCACTGTGCTCAGCACCCTGTGCAATTCCAGTGGATTGGTTGCTGATTTCCAGGAATTCATATAATGTGAAGCACGAATCATTCTATGCAGATGATTATTTACCTGAGTATTCTAATGTTGAATGACAGATTATTGACACTATTATTCAGTTAGGATCTACTCAAGCTAAAAATACACCTAAAACCAAAGCAATATCTAGAGGTGTGTTGTTGTTTTTGAACTTGAAAATTTTATGATGCTTGAAAGATTAGTTGAGAATAAGAACTCACTGATGGAATGGGAACTATACCAATATTTATGTGGTAGGGATCGTCTGCCATAAACTTCCACTTAGGAAATTGTATAAATCTGGCTATGGCTAAGTGGTTTCTCCTCTGGTTCAGAGATCTGCTGAGTCTCTAAGACATGTTCTGCACTGTTCTTGTGTCTCTCCAGTTCACACTGAAAGGCCATAAAAACTCAGTCTCAACTGATTAGCTGCTCAGCATTCATTTTAAGAACCAATATTTTCAACTGTGGGTATCATTATGGGTGTGTGCTCCTCCAATAAGCTCTACAGTGTGTTTTATTTCAATACATTAAGAATATCTGTCTCCTTGTATGCACCTGCATGGTCTGGTTTGGCCTGTTGAAGGAAAGAGGTGTTCAATTTGTCTTGAAGGAAAGAATACATTCTTGACAGGAGCCTAAATTGAAATAGATTATATTTCATGTAACAAAAATAAGAGGTTTGTACTTATAATTCATTCCTACTGAAATGCAGCAGCTTAGGCAGCATTGGGCTGCGGTT